AGGTTGCCTTACAAGATAAGAACAGAAAACAATGTAGATATCAGTTAGTTGAATTAGGAAAATATCAAGCAGATCAACACGATTAGTATTTTTCAAGTTTTGGTTTATCTGATTTGTCTCAATATCAAGTATTATGTTGAAGGTTCAATTTGTTTTTCATTTTTTATTTTTTAAAAGGTTATTTCCTTGATAATTATTTTGGGTTGTTTATATTTTATCCTTTGTGTTAAAAAAGTCTCTTTTATCTGTATTGTTTTGCATTTTTTTCTTTGTGTCCACTTGTAGCCACCATGTAGGGTGATATTTGTATTCATTTAAGCAATTCATAACCCTAGGGCACTTAGCCTTAGGTGTCACCCAAAAGCTTTTCACCTGTTGCAGTCAGAGATGCACCAGTGAGTATGAGTGTACTCAGCTCATACTCACTCAGAACGGGTTGCGGCCCCGCAAGGCAGTACATGTACTCCCGATGTGGACAGTAAGAGTAATACTCCACATCGGATTACCCACTTGCATGCATAACGATTAACGGTTTTTTTTTCAACTCCAGCGGCCAGTTTTGCCGACGCCTCCTCGCTTTCAAGGTGAGTCAAATATGTTTTTTTCACGGGACTTTCTGGCCTCTCTTGCATCCTCATTGATCTCATCTCAATCTTTCTTTACCTTAGGTCCTCGAAGGTAAACACTCGGGTGAAAACCTTGCGAAAGTCTACTGGAAAGCGTTGGATCATGTGGGCGCGGTACAGAATCATTTTTCGGTGACTGGCGACAATGCGTCCGCCAATCGGTCGATGGTCAAGCTTCTTTCGGACTGATATGCGACCATCGGCATCCATTGGCCCTTCGAGTCACGTTTTCATGGTTGTATGTGTCATGTCATCAACTTAGTCGCTAAAGACTTCCTTGATGGCATGGGGGAGTTGAGCGACGCGGACCTTGAGGCTTTCGAAACTTCTGGACTTGCAGACCCCCAAACCACTTTTGAACCGGAAGAGCTACCGCTCACTGACGCCGACAACGACTTTCTGCTGGAGTCTAGTACCCAACGCGAGACCGAAGCTCACAATTCTCATGAAGCCCATGTAGCCACCCAAAACGACTTCGACCTCACTCAAGCCTCCTTTGATGAAATGGTGAATGCTTCCAAAATTCCTGAGACCTTGACCACGGTGAACGG